CACACACACACACACACACACACACAGAGATACAAACTGACCATCTAAATTGACTGGAATTTCGTATATTGTTAACTGCTGCTTCTCGTTGCTTCTTATTTAGCACAAATTCCTGGAGCTTCTGTTTCACTGCCATCGAAGCAATTGCACCTGTAATTCAAAATCAATTTAACAGAAAACAATAAAACAGACTTTGAGTATTCAATGTGTTCTTCTGTTATCAACCTTCTTTTCCTCAATCATGTTTTTATGCTATCAAATTTTCATAACAGCACAAAACAAAATTTAAATCCACAGTTCAATATCTTCCACAAGACCAATCATATAGCTAATACAAATAGTGTAGTTCACCAAAAATTCAAAATTCCTACATTTATCAAGCTTATATTGTAGTCAAAGGACCAATGCTCCGGTAATTCTCCATACTTGACATTACCTTCAAAGGTTAATTTTTGGGGATAATTTGTAATTTCATTTCTAAGAATTTAATGGATTCTCTTCACTCTACCTCCATATTTCAAAGAATTAAAGGTACCGCCTATCACTACGTAGTTTAGACAATTTGACACGCCCCTCCCTCTCCTCCTCCTCCACCCCTCACTATCACACTGAGGCTCTTACTCTGTTGCTCTAGGGATTTGTTCTTGATTTGCGCCAGTTTCTCCTCTTGCATCTTCTGCTCCAAACGATGCTGTTCTTCGAGCTTCCGCTGCTGCTCAAGAAATTCCTGCTGTTTCTGAAGCATCAGCATGTGTTGCTGGAAAAATGCGCATTTTTTTATAATAAAAATTCAAAATTGGTTTAATCTGATAAACTGAAAATTCAACCATATGTGTTTACCTTAACTTTCACCTTCTATTTTTTCTAATTTTTTAAAGTTGTTACACTTATGATTATGATATGCATGAAGATATTTTTTATCTATATTTTGAACTGAAAGGTACCATGGCAAAGATGTCACATGAGAAGGTGCCAGTTAAACGTCCAAAAATAACTGAAGAAACAAAATGAATTGACGAATAAAATTATCCTGATCATTCAATAAAACTTTTAAACTATTCAATGAAGTCATGTCAGTCAGTCAGTCAGTCATTCTAACTTCATTCAGCAACACACCCCACATAGTTGAGTTAGTGTACAGTTAGCTCTTGCAATCTAATTTATTTGAACAGTCCCATAGGGTACATTCCTATCGTAATAACTGTGGATCGATCTATCTCCGAGGGGATTTTCACTAAACTGCAATCAACACAAGTCACTTGGATGTCTGTCATGCCTACTGAAGCTTCTAGGGGGTAATTAATTAATTATTGTTTTGCAGCTTTAGTAGGCATGCCAGACATTTAAGCCACTTAAGCTGAAAGCAATTAAGCGAGAAAACCCCTCAGAGATGGATCGATCCTGTTAGATCGATCTAGGTATGAGGACCAAGTCATACATAACAAAAGTAACCTACCCGAACTTTCAGGTGCTCTTCCAGTTGTTTTTCATGCATGGCAGCCAGCTGGTTTTGCTCCTGCTGGTATTTCTCGATCAGGCGTTGGTGCTCGATCTGCTGGTAATGTTTCAGGCGTAAGATTTCATTTTGAATGTTTGTGGTGTCGCCACCGCCGTGTGAATGCACGTCCGTCTTCCGTACCATCATGGGGGAACTAAGAGGGGAGTTAACTGTTATATCTGAAAATAAAAATCTTTTGCTATAATATATGAGCTGAATTAGGTAAAGGTCTTTTTGAGGAGTTAGCTGCACTCACTAGGTAAAAAGCTTCTTGTAGTGAAGTACCTCTATTGCTAATTTTTGTCTCTCCAGCATGAAAAAAAATATTATAAATCTTTATATTTGGATATAAACATCCACCAAATTCATGATTCCCTTCAAAGAAAAAGCAGCAGCAACGAATACCAACAGTTAGCATCCTCCTTGCCAACAAGTTGATGGCACTTTCAGACACTAAAAAACTACCACAACTGTCAAATACCAAATGGCATTTGAGTAAACAGACCTAACAGGGTGAAAAATTTGGTCTTTAAATCAAAAGCAACACATAAATCAACTAAGTCCCTTATGTTATGCGTTGTTCTGGGTATTTACATTGTTTACAACATAGATACTTACATATGACACTAGAAAATGGACTTAAATAGGAAAACATGTTCTCATTTTCATCAGCCTCGCTCTCCTCAAATATTATGCTATACACGCTATTCAGGTTTTCCCTGGGATAAAAATTGGTATATGCCATATTTCAATGGTTCGGTGAACTCTAAATATAATGTGTCACAATAACATCACACAACTGTATCCAAATATCATCCACATTTTCTCCCTCAAATCGTACTGCAATGACTAGAGATAAATAACCATATCAATGGAGTGAGATTGCTTATAAACCCGTCTAAATTTATCTAATTTTATCATCTGGGTTGTTGTTATCCGAGTTGTCTATAATTGGAGGTTTCAAATTGGCTATCCAACTTGTTCTACTGGTGCAATCTGATTATCAAGACCAACGCGACAAGAACATCCACACATATGCTCTTTTTTTCTCAAATAATATTTCTAAAGATATATCAATAGATAAATAATGATTCTCCCCATCTATAAGTAGACTAGACTAATGATTAATTAATTTAAAAGGGGAAAGAAATCCTAAGATACTCCAGTTCAATCCAATTATTTTGCTGGTAATAACCGAAACCCCTCAGCTTCAACAGGGAGATATTTTTTCAATTAATCTTCTGTGTGCGCATGCATATGTGTGCACGCGCACTCGCACGCACGCACACACACACACACACACACACACACACACACACACACACACACACACACACAACATTGCCCCAGCATTCATCCAAATTCAAAAAAATATTCATTTCTTCAGCTAAAACAAATTTCACACCACAGTTAATTTGAACGCATTTGCCACTAATGGCGCCTCAATTTCTGTACATAACAAGGTCAAGCAACTCCCACTGGTTCAAGTAAATTGGAAAACACATCAAAATAGCTCAGAATTGTGACGTAAATCAACCCCCAGTGACATTCTTTTCATTAAGGTGTTTACCAACTTAGGAGCATAATCAAGTGAATGCATTCAGATTACCATGCCTCCTCTTGTTTCCAACTTATTCGTATAATCACCAATTTTCTAAATTCTCCTCGACGCCAGAAAGGAGGGGTGTTCATCTTTAAATCTGATAGAATTCTGGGAGAGTCCCCGCAGAGTTGGATCGATCCTCTTAGAATGATGGTTTCATTGGGAATTAGCCCTAAGGCCCTTTAGACACTGAGTGGTATATATATACAAGCGCTATATTCCAGCCACCTTTAATAATTACGTCATTTCCAACCGTGCTCCATACATACCTACACGCGGTTCGCGATCGACGTACTCATAACGAGTCGTCTGGGTGACTCCCTATCGCCACCATGTCCATGACGTAATTATCAAACATAGCAAAAAATGTATCTTTTCACCTAATTTTATACTTATTTTGAAGAGGAATATATATGTGATGCAGTTTGTATAGGTTCACTATGAGAAATTGACAACTTAATTGCCTGGTAATTACATAAGAGAGTCACCAAAACAGAGACCCTGTGTTAAACACAGCTAATCACAGTAAAAACTTTAAAATTCTGTCACTTAAAAATTAACTAATATCTAAAAATGCGCGAATCAGACAGGGCCATATTACTTGACAGACTTTGCAAAATTATCAAGAGGTAGATTTTTAAGTTTGACAAAATTGTCAAAGTAACAAAAAATTACAGCTGTGGAGAATTGCCCTCTGACCAAATTTTCAAGATAAAAAAAATTTTCAAGTTTTTATTGTAATTAACTTTTCCCTAAACAGCAGAAAGCGAACTTGTGAAAAGGAGTAAAGCCCCCTGTATTGTTACTATATTGAAAACACTCTCAAAGCATTAGAGTCGAGGCGTTTCCCCACTGAGCCGTCTAGCCGTCATTTGAACAGCCACTGGCCTCAAAAGACAACCCGTTAGTAGATTTTCAAAGACGGCCAGACGGCTTGTAAAATATTTTGGAGAATGACGGCATATTTGTAGTTGGGATTCCCTGTAAATCTGTGACCGAATATCAGCTCAACATTTTGGACTCCCTGTACCCCAAATCCTGGGGAAACCCCTGATGCAGTAGAACTGACTTACTACGATACAGAACTCGATGGTAAAAAGGTTTTTAGTGTATTACTATACTATCGCATGTTAAGGGTCCACAGGAAAAAAATTTTTTTTTTTGTTGTGATGATTGTAGTATTTGATGCTTCCATTCTAAACACATACTTTCAGTCATAATATTTCTCTAGTTCTTATTTTAACCACTCCAATTAAGAAACCATATCAAAAACAGATCAGAATTGCGGTGATGTACGAGATATTGCTATCAATTGTCTGTTGTATGCAGTGAAGTCTTAAAAGTTAATGTGTTTTTAATTACAACCAGTGGGATGCATAATCTCCTAATCCTATTTCCTGCCTTCTTATCGAGCTTCTTACATGCTCTTTCTAAAACGAGAAACAATTGACAATCGTGACCAAAACACCTGTGCTACACCCACACGGTATCACCCTCCCCCCCAAATTGTCATCAACCAGAACAATGGCCAACACCTACCTTTCTTTAAGCTGACCTATTTACCAACAAACAATCCTTTACCTAACAGTATTACAACACTGCTTTTCAACTGAAAGAAAACTAACGTTTACCAAACCCAATATGGCTGCTGCTCAGAAATTTCAAACACCATTTATTACGAACATTTTCCTACTTCAAGATTTATAAGGTTAAGTGACACGCCGAGCAAAAGAAGATAATTTGAAAATTAACTAAACATAATAATCTCCCTTTTCAAATAGAACTGTTTAAGAATTTTTATGACAAAAACAATAGTCATAGGAATTTTTTTTGTTTGAATTTATCAAGAAATTACCATAGCTGTTTACAACTCCTACTACTGAATGAGCTAAAAAAAAAAAAAACGACCTTGAGTCCTACCAACAACCGCATTCCCTAAGGCTATTAATTATCTCGCTTAACTTTTCTTAATCGCTTAAAAACAAGTTGGTTTCTCCCACAGGCAATCCAGCAGTCAATAAAACTTACCTTCTTTCTATAGTCTTTCAAACCATATGGTTAATAACAATATATAAAATGTGAACCTTTCCAAAATTTTAACAATGAGATGGATCTTTCTCTAAACTTGGCACATAAAACATCCTGTTTACCACGATAAAAATAAATTTCCCGTAACCAGTGTTAAAAACGTCAACAAGAGGGCTCATATTTTCCTCACAGCTGGCAAGTTTCTTGTACTTTTAAGATGTGTTTAGGGCAATACTGACATAATTTAAAATAGTAACTAAATAAATTGAAATCAACTTGATTAAATTCTTTTTTGTAATCATGACTTTTTGTTGGTATTATCCTAAAATTGATGCTTAAAAATGTTTTTGATCATTCGGCAGCATTGCAAAGTACTTTTTTCACTTTTTTCCTTGGGTACGGTAAAGTGCCATGAATTTCGAACGGCTCTTGAATTTCGAACGATCTTAAAATCGGCCGTCTGGAGTTTTTTCTGGACCATGAATTTCGGCCAGTAAGCAATTTTGCGCGATCTTGATTTCGTGAATTTCGTACACCTTAAAATCGGCCACCGGGCTATTCTCACGCTTAAAAAGATCTAACAGTCGGCAATGTTGCCCTAGCGTACCTTTACCTGAGTACTACGTGTGCGGCCCAAGGTGCAAGATAACGATCAGTACAGTTAGTTTAGGACGCTAAACAACATCGTCATATCTATTCATTCAGATAACAGGAGAATCTATTAAGAGTTGTACTGTCGGGCTGTTGTTTCTTTACCGCAGTATTCGGTGTGAGATAGCGATCGGTAGTTTTGCTGAGGCGCACAATAGCATTGTTAACAGTAGAGACTTCAGTAACAGAACAAAAGAGCAATATTANAAAATAAAAACATTTCTCATAACGAATCTTACCCTGAATCTACTCGCCTGCTTCAATAGTTCTTTACGTCAAGTCAAGTACACTTATTTCCAATTCTTAGCCAGTGCAATGTATTATGGGCAGCGTGCCTTACTCATCTCTCACTCAACCCTCAATCAGGACTATCATAATTTCACAGTTTTCTATTTTTAAATACATCTTCCATCGCAAATAGGGAGTAAAATCGATACAATTCATGTCTTGAATCCCTGCATGCCACTCAAAATCAATGGTGACATTTTCAAAATGCAATCAGTATTATCTCATCTCCCAGAAACTTGGCAGTAATATCACGGCAGATATTGATCTTGCTTGACTTCTATTTATAAATGGAAATAAGGAGGAGTGGTGTACTGGGCAGGGGGGGGGGAGGAACTGGGGTGGAGGGGGGGGGGAGAAATGTCACGTCATTGCATAAAATAAAGAGAGATAGATGTTGCTTGAGAGAGAGAGAGAGAGAGAGAGAGAGAGAGAGAAAGCAATACACAAATGAAGGGGAGTTATGAGAAATAGGGCAAATGAGAAAAAAAAAGATGTTACATCACATAATTTCCTGAAAGCTTCAATCTAACGGCTTAAAATAGCTGTTAATAAATAAGCAGTATAAGATGGATTAATTTCGGTCTCATTGTCAGGATATTATCTGAAAGGCGAGTAATTTTAGCCATAGTAATTTCCTTTATAAATGGTGGCCATGACAATATATTTGATGACAAGTCCGAGAAAGAAGGCCAAAGCATAATTGCATACATCCTTTTCGATAATGTTGACGCTGGACACAAGCATAAAAAATTTGCACCAGTCTAACAGACTACCAAGTAAGCAAAATTCAAACCAATTCTTTGGCCACATAATGAATCCATTCATAAGCAAAAATTAATCATTTTTAAAGATATATTTAAAAAATATTTATCTAACAAATTACACGTCTTGCATAAACATACCTGTTTAAAGTGAGAACCCAAAATACAAAATACTAATAATACAGAACCAAGATGGATGTTCCTTTTTCCTCTGCAGTGAAAACTGTCCCTCTCTACGGAATCAACAAAGGAAAAAAAAAAAAAAAAAACTGGACAACAGCTGGCCTTAATTAGCAAGAATTCTCACAGTTGTGACTTATTTTGGTGATACTTCCGAATCTACAAAAACTGCCTTGTATATAAATCATCAAGGCAACTGCTGGGGGGTTTGAACAATAAATATAACCAGTGCCAGAGAAGGTTTGGAATGGTATCTCAATATAAGGGACCGTTCAAGATGAGTTGCACTGACCTAGCTAATGTACACCATCTCCATGAGAACTCTCGTTAGAAATGCAATCAGATGATCAGGCATACACGTTTCTTTTTGGTTTCCAATATGCTGGATTTATCAACGGTTTTTCTGTACTCTACTCAATGCTACGAGCCGGCTTCTGAGTTATATTAGGTCCACAATGGCTTCTGAGTAAAATTAGGTTCACAAAACTAATTCTGAAAGAGCCCTTATAATGACAATATCACGTAAGGCACCCACACTGTACATGCAATTTTAAAGCAAATCTTCCTAGGTGTCACCACCCAGATATAAATAGTTTTGTGCTTCTGGCAATTCAGCTTATTTTCTACCTGCAGTCATGTTGCATACAAATGCTTCGTCACTCACAGGTATCTTTTAGACA